CAGTTCCCATTTCCTCGCTCGATCTTAAGCCGTTGAAGGAGAGGACAGGACTGACACTCCCTCCTGACCAGTGTGTGGAATTCCAAGGATGTGCAGTGGGAATGACACATCTCTAATTTGATCACTCCATTAATTGACTTCACAGCTGACAAATACGGAAAGGAGTTGAGGTTCTGGAATACACCATGTTTGTGTCTCCCATCTACAGGCCAACAAGTCTGAGACAGCAGAAGGAACCAGCAGAGAGCTGAGACAGTTTCAGCCATCTTTTTATTGTATTTATGTTGATTCAAAGTGAAATGTTATGCACAGAGGAAGAAAACTTCCTTGGTTATTGGAACAGTAAGAGTTTAGGAAGTGTTAAAAAAAAGGTGATGGACTGGATGGTATTCCCCACCTCCCACTTCAGGCTCCCTAACTGGGAGCAGATGGTTCCCAGTTGGAGATTCATACTGGTTATTTTTCATGCTGCTGAGCTTGGAGTCCATTTCTCCCAAATATCTGTCCCATGTTTCTTGAAAATTCTTGAATTATTTAAACCTACAGAGGATTTCAAATGGTACCTCAAGCATTTCTGCTTTTTGGCAAACTTATGTACTTTATCCTAGGCAGAAGAAAAACCCTATTTTTATTTTTTTTTTTTAAATTCTGCTTTTTATGTCTGGGTGTAAATGGCAACTGGGCATTCACTTATGGGCACTCTGTTAAGACAAGCCTTGAAAATCCAAACCTTCAGTGCATTAATGCATAAAACTCATTTTACCTGTGTAACGTGAACTGCTCATGAAGGACAATGTCTGACCTCTGATCTTTCCTTAACACAGTACCTGAAATTAAAGAATTTTGAGGAGGAAGTCAGAGCCCAGCGAGACCTGGATGGGTTCCTGGCCAGAGCCAGCATCATCCTGGATGAAACAGCCACGTCCTTGGACGATGTTCTTCGGGAGATGCTGAGACACTTTGCGGAGGATCCCGAAAACATGGAGCCGAGCTGCAACTTTGAAAAAATCATGAGCACTTTATTCACAGATTCAGGGACCCCACGGGAAGGCAACGGTAATGAGCCCTTGGTTTCCTTCTGCTGGTGGGCTGCTGGTGGTTTGCCATCCTTTCCATTGTGGTGGTGTGTTGAACCCTCCCTGCGTGGTCCCCAGGCTTGCATGCTGCATGTGACACTGTGGGTTGATTGCTCCATGTCACTCAGACTGAAGGGTCTCACATCTCCAGGGTTTTTGTGTTTTGGTGGAGTCCTGCCCCCTGTTTCATTAAGATGACACGTGGTGTTCTCCGGGGTGAGAAGTCCACAGCACCAGAATGTCTTGTCTGTGTGGACCCTTTGGGTGTGCTTGTCCTCAGACAAGTGTCTGCTCTTCAGCCAAGAGACTCTTGCTGGTGTCTCTTCTGAAATGGCTCCTTTGCCTTGTGATTCTCCACCTGAATTCACACAGGCTGGGGAATTTGGCCTGCTCTGGATGAGCCTCTGGGGAGGGTTGAGCCTTTGTGTTGCTCCCAGCCCTCTGGAGGAGACAAAAGACTTTGTTTTCCTCCAGAAACTCACTCAGGGCATCCCCGGCCAAGGTTGTTGGCTCCTGTGTCACCTTAAACTGTCAGCAAATGTCGTAGTGTAGTCTAAAACATAGCTGCCTTTTAGCCCAAGATGTGAAGAAGCTTAACTGAGCGTTGTTTCTCTGTAGGCACCCATGATGTTTCAGAGTCAACAGGAATGAATAAACAAACATGTACATCGCACCACAAATGTAACTGTCACAGCCTGAGTGAATTTGTTTAACAGATATGTCGAGTCCTGAGCATGTAGTAAGCATGTTCATGCTTTGGTTACTTCTTGCTACCTGTCCTAGAGCTTCGCATTTAGAATCTTTTAATTTAGGCTTTCTGCCAATAAAGAGAAAAATGTAAGTAGTGCCATGAAATAGTGTGAGAGCAGTAGTTGGGAAGAGGGGGAGAGAGGGCAGGGGATTGGGAAGGCTATGCCTCTTCCAGTCCTGTCTCTGTGTGTGTGTTGGATAATGCTAATCTAATAACCTAATACTGCAGTAGGGTGATGTTGGGAGGAGAAAGCAGCTTCCTTTCCAAGCCGTGAATAGTTTAGGGACAGAATTCAAAAGCAGCAGGACAAATGTTTCCATCTTTTCTCTGTCAGCCCCCCCACCCCACCCCTGCCTAAATCCACTGAGCAGATAGGAATGCTTGGGATTAGTCCTTCCATTTGAAAAGGAGATGTTATTTACAGTCGCAAACCAAGCCTGGACAGCCTGTAACACTTCCCTCTCTTCTTTTCCTAGTTCACCTCTTATCAGATACGATCCAAGGGGTCACAGCGACAGTCACAGGGGTGCAGTATCAGCAGTCCTGGCTCTGTATCATGTAAGTACCTGGACTGGATGAACAAAATCCACTGGCTGCCCAAAACTTGTAAATTTGTCTGCTTTTGGGAAGAATAAGAGGTTCAGAATGTACCTTTTTGTGTTAAGGTGGTGATGCCTTTCCCATCCATCCAGGGGTTGAATGGTGGCACATGTCTTACAGTGTCTTTCTGCAGGGGAAAAAAGTAGTAGTAATAAAGTTAATATTAAATG